AAGGCCAGAAATTATCTTCTGTGGGAAGACAGGCATATCAGAGCTCTTGGAGTTGCAGACAGAGAGATAACATTTCTTTCTAAGTATGCCAAACAGTGTGATAGAGAAGGACTCTGTCCACCCCCATTTCATTCAAAACATTTAAAGTACTTGCTAGGCTAAACACAAATGTTTCTACTCTTCCCAGGTTCCCCCTATAATCTTGGATGGAGCAATGCAAATCCAATTTTGTAGATACTATTATATGTTTAAAGCTCTCAATACCCAGGAAAATCCTGAATAGCTCTAAAACCAGCACTAAAATGGAGCAGTTCAAGGGAGCACCAAGGTAGAGGTGAGCAGGGCAATCTCAGGCACGCATAAGTTGTGAAAGCCATGAGCTTCTTTATCTTCCACAAAGACATCTCCCTTAAATTTAAATAGCTGCTGTCATTGTCACTGACTACCTGACTATGTATTTATCTGCCCAGAAGCAGAGTGCATGGCCTTTGGCCCTGCTATTCATGGGGTTACTGTCTCTGCCTAACAATGCCCTGAACAGAGCTGGGCTGCTGTTCGCATCTTTTGTTTGGTGTGAATCGCTGAAGCTTTGATGTTGTTTGTGAGAAATATAATGATTAAAAAGAATAAGATCTTCACTCTCCCACTGTCTGCTCCCCACAGAGAAATCTAATCTGAGTTGGGAAAAATCTGTGACTGATCCCGTTTTAGGAAGACACAAAACGACGGAGTCCAGGAGAGAAATCTGTTAGTGTTGAAAGTCTTAGCATCTCCTTACTGGAGGGTCAGAGAGGTAATTTGTCTTAATGATCAAAATTCTGTTTCCTGTTACACAAACATCTATGTTCAAATAGGTATAGAATACTTTCTTTGTGTGGTGAACACAGCTGTCAGTGTAGCCATAGTGCTTTATTTTCAGTGGGATGCCTTAGATTTCTGCTTTAGTTGCACATGCTTCCCCTTTATAGGTTATTCTTACAAAACAATGGGGCAATTACTTCATACTACAGCTACATTAGTGGATTTGGAATGCTCTATAGTTCAAAAAAAGCATTTTTCTTTATAAATTATTATTCTAATAAGCCTTGTTTCTCATTTGTACTGATAAACGCTTTTCTTATTGTCATTTTTGAATGAAGAGCAAATGTGATGCAGTAAAGCATAACTAAAGCCTCTAAAATCTGAACTTCAATGTACATGGATCACTGTTCTGCTACTCAAGGCAAAAACTCCCACTGTCACATAAAAATACTCTGATCAGTGATCACCACAGTAACAAAAAAGGAAATTCAATAAAATTAAAATGTCCCAAGTGTAATAAAATGCATTGAAAAAAAATTGGGATGCTTTTATCTTCACAGACCTTTGATCCACAGTGTGAAGGAAAAGGATTTGATTACTAAGATATTTTGAAATTGGAAGTGGCTTGATTCCTACATTGAGCAGCAGATAGGTGAGACAGAAAGGGAGCAGAGCTGGCTTACCTTGTGCCAGGAGCAGAGTCAGGCTTACAGAGCAAACACAAAAAGGTTTTGGATTTAGGCACTTGGATATGGGAAATCTCTCTGGGCATAATTCCAGATATTTTTTTTTTAATATATATATATCCCCAGCCATCATTATATACCTATATTCACCTTCAGGCTTCACATGAGCTTACGACATCACACAGTTTTGCGTATCACTGACATTTTTGCTTCTATGTGGGATGGGCATTCCAAGGGGCAGTCAAACAGGACTGCTAATGGAAATTCCATAGCTCTTGTTGATTTGCTCATCACTTGTAAACCTTCTCACAAACAGGGGCCAAACTCAGGAAACAGGCAGGTAAACAGAGGGATGTGATACACATTCCCCAACAAAGGAGACTTCATTATCCTTTACCTGGGAGAAGTATTGCACCTGCAAGCAGATTTGTCTTAAGCCACCTTAGGGATATGCAGAAAGCAGAGCAGATGCATAAGGAGTAGGTAGAACCAAATCTTCCCAAAGAACACTTCAGAAGAAAAAAAGATAAGGCTAGGAAAGCCATAAGTTCTAAAATGTGCTGAAAAGTTTATATGCGTATCACTGACATTTTTGCTTCTAAGTAGGAAACATTCCTCATGGGCACTCTGGAACATAGCCTAGCTCATAAGCTTGGACAGAGAAGATATGGTTTATTCTAGTACTGTCACAGGCACTGGGGTGGTATCAGAGCACTCCTGGAAGTTTTGGCTGTGAAGTTCCTTCAGTATTGCACACTTCAGACATCCACAGCTGCCAAGAATAGCCTACTCTTGGAAACTACTTGGAGCAAAGACAATTTCAGGGGGCTCTGCTGATCTCACATGTGACTAATGGGAGTTGCTAGCATTCAGTGGTTGCTGGGATCATCTCTGCTGTGTGGGTGTCAAATAACACAGAGCACAGCATTAGGTCCTGCTGTAGCAACTGCATTGGTAGGGACAGATGCATTCCCCACAGCATTTCCTTCGGGAATCTGCCCACACAGATTCAGAACTTCTACTTGCTAGCAGGGGAAAAAAATAGATGCAAAGGCCTTGATTTTGTTCTCTATGGTTTAATGTTGTAATCTTGGTATGAAAACAAGTGTTTGGGTTTTTTCAAACATATGGTTTTTATAAGTACTGTGGTAGTGAGCTATATAAGTACCACTAAGCTTTTACTAATTTGTCAGCTGTCACTCCACCTCTTTATATAGCATTTGTAATGATGTAACCTGTTCTCTCCCCACATGCAGTTCCTACAATGTATTACAATGGCAAGAGTTTTAAAGCATGTCAAAAAAAAACCAAACCAGAATCTAGGACTTGGCCATTGTTGTGTTTGGCCAGCCCTAAAGAGAGGGCTGACAATGCCTGAATACTCTGCCGATGTGATATGTGTATTGAAGTTTGATTAAGTTGGATATGAAAATTAAAACTTGGCTTCACATTGAAGAGAGAATCTCCTGCAGTGTGATAGTATGGCATCCAGTTTTCTGTTTACCCCTAAGGCTGGTGCTGCTATGACTTCCAGGTTTGATGATGTCTCTTTTTTAAGTTGCTGAGCAGCAGGCTAATGGCTGCACAGCATGATGCAAAGACAGTAGAAAGCAGGGAAATCAGATGTGAATATATTCCCCAGAGATCTCCTGCTAAGATGGAGCTAACTAACCAGAGCTTTAGCGCTCAGATGTAGTCTTCTCATGCAGAGGATGGGCTGATTATCAAACTCTTCCTGCTATACTGTACGTTTTTGGATTACAGATGTTATTACACATAATGAATTCTGTTATAATATGCATTCTAGTGTAATGTGAACTATTACATTAAAAGGAACATTATTTTTAAGGAGATTCTGTCCAAGGCCAGTGTCATTGTCTCTTCCCCATATTGTTCAAAATGATCTTGGTAATCTAAAAAATACAGGTTTATATTCTTCTTCTGTCCTGGTTTTGCCTTAGTTGTTCAAAAGCCATAGCTGTAGTTTATTTCATCAGGACAAAGACTAACCTATGGACAGGAATGGACAGGATCTGCTGGCAAAGCAGCAGCCCACCTTGCTGTTTACACAAGTGTCTGTTGTCCATGTCACACAACAGGAGTTGCTGTTGCTGCTGGGTAGTCACTTCATTATTGCCACAGAGGCAGCCTCAGATGCCACAAGGTATGGAGGGCAGAAGGCACAGCATCCTTCATACCTTTTATGATACTGGTGATATATCTGGCCTATAAGATGAAAAGGAACTGCCAATCCATTTTTATTTGTGTGTAGGGAAGCTACATTCAGAGACAAGTTAATAATTTTAATGTTAACATGAGAGCTGTATCTGCTTCCCAGCTCCCATGTATCATCACTGACCCATTCATTGCTTCGAGGTGTTAGGCAGTCTAGGGTGCAGTAGTAACAGGGAGAAGAACTTGTTACAGTTCCCCAAAGACACCTCATGAGAATATCCTCATGTTGTCTCAGATACCAGTGCCGAACTGTCAGTCTTTGGTGGCATAAGGTGGTCTGTGTGGTTTCAGTGAGTAGGAGGAAGACTGGCTGACACAGTAATTGATGATTAAGTTTCTACAGTGTTACTATGCATTTGTCATCCTGCTCCTGTTGCTTTCTATACAGATAAGAGAGGAAAAGTTACAATGGTGAAGCCATTGTAAAGCCATTTACTTGCTACACAAGTAAAATCCAGAAGCTGGTTTAGTCCAAAAAAAAACCAGAAGCATTGTTCTGGTAGGAAAAAATTCTTCACTGAAAGGGTGGTAAAGCATTGGACAAGGCTGCCCAGGTAAGTCAAAGAATCACTGTCCCTGGAAGAGTTAAAAAACCTTGTAGATCTGTTGCTTAGGGACATGGTTTAGTGGTGGACCTGGCAGTGTTAGTTTAATGGTTGGACTCAATGATCTTAGAGGTCTTTTCCAACCCTAATGACTCTGTAGTCATCTATAGCCTTAATAGAGGAGTGCTTGAGAGTTTGCACACTGTATGCCAAACACCCAGGCAGTCTGGTTTAAAAGAGTAAACTCTGAGAGTTAAACAGCACACAGGTTAAACCACAAATCATTTGTCAGTGACCTTAAAGGCTTGGCCTAGAGTGTCTCTTAGCAGTTTAAAAATGTGCCATAAGGAAGTGCAAAGGCTCAGCCTTGAGCTTCCCTTTGGGCCACACAGATTGGGACAGGTTTGACAGCAGCACCTACTGAGATTGTCCCTCTGGCACATCTGTCCACAGTACTCCATACCTTACCATGATAAGAAGCAGTTTGTCTCAAACATAATAAAATAGACAGTTACCCTATCAGCTTTTATAACTCAGAGAGGAATTTTATTTGCAGACTTTACCACCTTCAGGGAATCTGAAGATTTCTGCATAGAATTCAGACTTTTGGTAAAGTCAAAGAAACAGAAGGGTTCAAATAGCCTTCAAGGCTTCTCTGAAAGCTAACTCTTTTTCCCTAGGGAGGCAAGCACAATATTCTCTGAACTCTAGAGGAGCAGTAAGTAAAAATTACCTCATACAGTGGCATGCAGATGCTATCAATCCACTCGAGCTGCAATCTGGGTAGTTCATGTTTCCTGTTCCGATCAAAAATGGCCTGAATTGAGAAGGGAACAAAACTGTCATGCTTTATTACATTGCAGTATTTTACAGACACATCATCCAGCGCTTTTCAGCTATGATCAAATTCTCACAACCAGAACACTTTGTAAACCATAATCAATCTTTGCAGCAGTCTTCCTGCTGCTTTGCATGGCATGAAAAATAAACTGTTTATTTTCAATTCTGTTTTGAAATTTTTAGGCTGAATGTGTTTGTATTTTATAATTCTGTTACGTAAAATAAATGCTCCACAGTTGGAGCTGAGATGGTAAGTAAACTCCTGTGGGAATGTAAAGTAGATACCTTTGAGCAGAAATTTCCCTTCTCTCACACAGAGTTTTCCAGTTCAGCAAAATGAACAAGTGATGGATCTGGGCTGGCTCTCTCCCTCTCAGTTACAGAGCCTTTCCACAGTACCAGCTGTGACTGTGAATCCAAAGGGTAGGAAATCAACAAATTCATTTTGGGAGCAGTTATCAATTTGTTCCTCTGGAATCAGCCTAATTTACTGCTCCCTGCACTCCCTCAATGATGTCACGGAATAGGTCAGCAGTTGATCTTGTTTAAAAATTCCTCATTAATGTGGTAAAACTCTACATGCTTTTGACCCTTACCCATAACTGTTAGAACTGATGGTCTTACCTCCCAACCTAAAACACTTAATACATCAGTTTACTGATTTTTTTTTTTTTTAAGTGGCGAAGGGTCAAAGAAGAAGATAATCTTTCTTCAAGCAGTAAGGCTTCAGAGCACCTTACATGTGGTCCACAAATGACTGTATTCATCAGTACAGACTGTAAAGCCTAAAGGAAGAGTGAGAGATCTCCCTGTTATGGATAAAATACTAAAGCTATTTATAGCAATACATTTCTTTCCCACCTGTCTAGGCTGTTGGATGCAGATTTTCAGAAGATGTGCCTCCAGAAGAAAGCTCTGGCCTTTTTGCCTTTCTCTGTGATTCTACCAAGGTATGCCCAAAATGTCCATGCAACAACACACTTAAAATAATTCTTACTGTTACTGGACTCGGGACATTTGCGCTGGAATTCATTGCTACTTGACGACAGTAACATTAAGACGTGTGTTGAAATAAAACTACTTCCTATTGTGTTTCCTTAGTATGAGAAACACACTTTGCAAATTTTACATAAAGGGCAGAAAAGACACATCCATACTGTATGGAATGGTGCTTACAGTTATTCAGGTCTAGACTGGGTCTCAGAATTGTGAACATCATGATTACTGTTCTCCTGGCCTATAGTTCCCACTTCTTCTGAGAAGATGTGTGCACAGAACTACTACAGGGAAGAAATCCATTTGTGTCCCAGTCTCTGACAGTGTACAAAGTGAAAAACCATTTATTGTAGCTGAGCATTATTTATTACCAACTTTTACGCTTTATTGATCTTCATTACACCACCACAGGCTTATGTGTGAACATTAATGTAGTGAGAACGAGTCTGAGACACTGGACTGGCCTTTTCATACTTGGAAGCGTAAAATTTTGGAATCATATCTGTAAATAGCTCATAGCTTACATTCTTTAGAATACTTTCTGTTACCTGTTGCCTCCAGGTAATGACTTTTCAACATTTTTAGTTATTTAACTTGGATAAGGCTTTCTCTTCTAGTCGTTCAGTGAAAAACTTTATGAAACTTTCCTAACTCTCATTTGACACTTTATACCCATCTACCTATAATCTATTCAATACTGATTTATTCTTTTATTCACAGTTTTACATTTAGTTGTATACCCACAGAAATGCATTTCAGCATTTGATACATCAAATAACACAGATAAATAGCTGCAACATAAAGTAAATCTTACAATTTTGACTTCCATTGGCAACTGGTGATTTTTGATTTGAATTCTATGTATTAAAACCAATACCTACTGCTTAGAAAAGTCAGTGACAAGATAATTTTGGGAATAGGCATGGAAAATGGGTAAAAGGGCTCAGTGCACAAGTGATGACTGTGTTGACGGAGAGATTTTATATATGGTTACAAATGCATATCCTTCTTGGACAGAGCTTCTATATACTCCAAGATTTTTCTTTATGTACAAAATACAGTTCATTTTTCTGAATGAGCCCAATAATATTTTCTTACTCTATTCCAGTTAGTAACTATTTCACAAGTGATAAAAACTTACTGAAGGGGTGAGTTTGAGTTCAGATCTTTCTCTGTCTCCTTGTTCAAAGAACTCACTGGTTACCAGCTCAGCTGCCTAAAACATAAATCGTGATAAAGATTAGAGTTCTTGTTAAATAATTTTTAGGATAATGAGTTTCTGCTTAGACTGTGACTTCAGTCCATGCTTAACTGTAAAGCCCCATTATATGACTGATGTCAGACACATGTTCACATAGTTTTCAGGACTGGGAGTGCAGGGAGTATAAACAGCCACATTCACTGACAGGCACAGTTGTTTACCCCTTTTGATAGGGAATTGACTGGGGGAATTACAGTGCAACGTCGAGGTAGCACTCAACACAGTTACGTGCAATTTACTCAAGTACTGAGAACAGAATGGAAAATTACAGCCTCTTGGTGGCATCCACAATTATGTCTGTAAAGATGCTTTTTAAAACATTCAAGAACTCTCTGGGTATTTACAGGCTGTTGCCCTCTACAAACAGCTTCACTTATCAAAGAAACTTAATTAACCAATACACTCTGTTATCTTAAACTAACGTGAATTCATAAAGGGTTTTCCCCCACTAGGTTTTATGTTTTTTCCCTGTGACTGATATCACTATAGGATCTGGATATCTAAGTATAAACTCAGACTGTGATGATCATATTGATTTAAAATCAAGAACTGGCAGGTTGGAAGTTGGAATGTGTCTTTTTGATTTTTGTGAATGAAGATGTTCTATTCACAGCAGAGATTTGTGCATCTTAGAAGAAGACACGATTTAAAAACAAATTTGGTTATGGAAACAAGAGGAATTTTAGGAAGTCAAACAGTGAGCAATTCTGATATAGTACTGTACTCTTGTCATGTGTGGGGCTTTGAAGGTAAGCACGTGCAATATTTGAGGTGCAAAAAAACTGGAAACCAATCTACTGAAGATGGCATTCAGATCCTAAAGCTCCTGTCATGCCTGTGTATTGTTTTCAAGCCAGGAAATTACTTCATAATGCCAAGCCATGAGAGGGTAAACTAGGCACTGAACCTGCACTTCATAAAATCTCAAAATTTCTTGCTCTAGCATCTGCAGGTAGGTAACATTCACAAACCCTAAGATTGTTATAGTTGAAATAAGAGTACCAAAATAAATTGGAAGTAGGTGAAGCGATGTTATAAAGTACTCTTAAATCTTGAAACAGGCTAGCATAGTTTGGAACTTTATAATGTATGTAATCCCACTGCATTAATAAAATTCTGGATCAATATTCCAGATAGAGGAATAATTTAACAACTTAGCAGCAATTAAGGGTTTGACAAGTGTATTGTACAAAAATAATCAAGACATAGTATCATGCCTGTCTCTCAGTCCTATTCTGATCCTGGTCTCCTTATGACCCTTTCCCTCTTCTTTTATCTGTTTTGATCTTTTCTTCCTGAATTTTTCCTTCCTACATGTGGCTTTTATTCCTTTTGATTCATGTATTTTAATCTCTTTCTCCCTCACTTTTCAGGGTTTTTTCCCTTTTGGCACAGCTGAGCCCCAACTATTTCCTGTCTTGCCTCTGTGGACTTATTAACATCTCTGCTCAACCAGGTAATGTTTCAATCAATCCCAGACTGGATTTTTCAATACAAAGTAAACCTGTACACTAGGCTGCAAGGGAATTTTCATCCACAGACCTCAAAAGTGATAAGCATAAAAAAAACCCAGTTTTCCAGAGACTTCAGCACTAATTCAGCACCATAGCAGAAAGACTGACAACATGGAAAGCAGCCCCTACCTGACATTCTGGCTGTCAAAGAAAATGCAGAAGGGTTAAGGAGGAAAAATGAGGAGGGATTGCATGCACTGCAGCTGTGGCCAGGAGGCACTGAAAAATCTTGTGACTTGTTTTCCCACTGCAGGATATAAGCAGCTTTCCTGATTTCCATGTGAGGTGACCATTATTCTGGCCAAGTAGAGCAACAGCCTTAGAAGAACTGTTGTCACAGTCTGCTTATAAAAGCAAAAAAGACTCACCTGACAAAACTGCAAGTTGAGCTGAAGCCCTACCCCCGTAAATGTTTTTGTTGGTTTTGTTTTTTTTTAACTCAGTTGATGTATATGTAACTTTTGTAGATCCCTTTCAGCTTCTGTTACTTCCTTATCCTTCTCCAAGAAATCTGGCTGCTCCTGCATCACTAGTTACCTAGTCTAGCTTACTCTTTGTCAGTCCATCTTTATAACTATTACTTTGCTATTACACCAAACTGTCTCCAGGTGTGTACCCCCACCCAGCTGAAGTGGTATATTTTCTGTTTGCTTCTTGATGCTGTATATCCTTCCAGAACCCGACACAGTCTGCCTTCTACTAACTTGTTCTGAACCTCAGTAAAGGACAGACAATGATTAGCATGGACACTGGAAATGTTAAGGATGGATGATGGGTAAGGAAGGATGCCTAGAAGAGCAGAAAATATTGGAGCAAAGGACAAGACTCCTGGGACATGTTGCTTTCTCCTATTGTACTTGTTTGCCAATGCTGAAGCCGTGTTTTATGTATGTTTCTAAAGAGCCTACTCAATAGCAGAACCCTGAATTTTTGTTTGCTTGTTTCTAAGTAGAGGACAATAAAAAAAGCTCTATACTAACATTTTTTTCAAGATTGTTAAGAAAATGAACACATTTATCATATGTACTGAAGTTTTATGTTAATTGAAGTTTGCAGCTCATCTGCTGGTATTTTTGATTTAGGGAAGATTCTGTCACTGTTAAGGAAAACTTTGGAATAAAAAAGTAAGCACAACTACACGTGGGTAACAACTTCTTTGTTTAATCCATCTGGTTTTGGATATGGATTTAAAAGGTTAATAAGAGGAGATGCTTTAAAGCCAGATGTACACACCAGCATGTGTATAGCCAAAGATTATGCAATAAACCATTTTTTGCAGAAACCCCCTGCTATTTTTTTATAACATTAATACCGCTGTAAATTGATTCCAGTTTGGGTCCCTTGTAAGCCAGGGCCCTGGGAATATTGTCCTGCCAGTCCCGCCTCCTCCCAGCCCTGCTATTAATCATGACTTGCCTGTCTTGAAATCTCCCACGGTTTGGTCACAGCTCCAAGGTCACAGGCTGTCATTAGCATTGATCTGAAAAACAGAAATGAACAATACAAGCTGAATCAACCTTTGTTGGATTTCTAAACAACTGTGCTCTGGATGCATAAATAAATAATACGTATACAAAATGTCAGCTCGGACACCTTCTTTTCCTCCAGAAAAGAATGACATGTTTGAAATCTCAGCCATCAGCATGGCTTTTACATCACCATTGTGCCTCGGAAGTCTACTGTGTTGCAGGTCATAAGATGATGAATTTTGGTATTGTGCACTACACACTAGAAAAGAAATGATATTGCAAGGGAATAACTGCTAATTTTGCAATATTTCTAACACTACTTACATTAACACCTATAATACATTAGAAAGCATGTGCTTCACATGATATAAGTAAGGGTATTATTACATAATAACACCTGAAACTGGATTAATTTATATGCCTATTTGTAAGTGACTGCTGTAGCAAGAGAGCCTATAATCACAAGAGGCATCCCAGACACTGTTTAAGCAGTTTCTACTGCTCATCTACAATAAAAATTTAAGATTTACTATGAGCTATATGATTCCACTGTAGTTTAATACCTAGCTACAACCATGTTTTATATGCATTAGGAGAAAGAAACCATTCAGCTGTAGAAAGTGTTTATGTACAGTACATGATGCAGATAAAAGTCTAAGAAAGTTTAAATGAAGAACAAGGGCACTTGCATCAAATATATTGTCTGAATCTAAAATTAGGAGTGAGTGAAATGGTATGGAAAATAGAAAATGGTCAATATTTTGGTCAAAAGACTGAAAGAAAACAGAATTTTAATGAAATTTCAGATAAAATGAGACATAATTAGGCATGCATACACAAATACACACATTTTATTGTCTAAAAAGCGTGATGTACTTAAACCACCCACAAAGTCTGAGGTTTTCAACAGGATGCACGTTCAGGGCATTCTTGAGGGCTAGAAGAGTACTGTGTGTATGTAAATTCCCAGGTACAGACTGGAAGAGCAGAGAAAAGCATGGCCAGTGAAAGAAAACAGCTGAGAGGAGGAGGGAGCGGGGAAATGGACAAGAAAGATCTTTGTGTCCTAAGGCTGAATACTGATGTTTTCTGGAAAAAGAGCAGAAGGGCTGAACAGTGAGGTTCAGCCTGGTGAGGCTGGGAGAGGCTGGGAGAAAGGGAAGAAAACATGACAGAGTGTGAAGGCAGAAATAGGAATGCAGAAGGTGAAGTCATGCAGATTAACTGCAGCTGTTTGTCAATATTTAGAAATCAAACCATATATTTCATTTCATGGATCATATTTTTAAAACAAGGTACCTTCTCTAGTTATTCCAAGCCTTCACTCCCCAATATATGAAATTCCTTCAACAAATATGGCCACACTTTGAAATTACCAGAAAGCAAGAAATAGTAGTTCTCACCGAAATATTTCTCGGTGTTTTTTTATATTCCAGTCATAACCACCTCTACTGACAAGTTCAAAAAACTCGGTCCTTCTCCTGCAAAAAAAACAGATTATCAGAGAAAGAAACAAGACCCTTTCAGAGCAGCACTGCAGTAGGAACACAGTTCTCTTTATGAGACAAAATCACTGCACCTCATGTATTATTGTTAAAGTCATTACACTGACAGTCCATTTAAGCGAAACGTACTAATTTCCGAACATGTTCTATAAATGTCTGTTATCAATGTCAGAGTTGCCTTGTAAAAGCAATATTGTATTTATGGTCTCCACAGATAAGGAAATTAATGGCACTGAAATGTTCAGTCTTCCATGGAAGCATGAAATGTTCACCTACAGCAATGGACAGACAGACAATAGAAACACCCCTGAAATATACACATGCTTCTCTTTATTTGTCCTTGCAAAATGGTTTTTACTTCTATATCCTGAAGGTTTTTTCAGGGACATGCAACTCCAGTCTTTTTCAGCACACAGAAAAGAACAGAGACACGTAGGAGCTGCAGCAGTCTTGAGTTGGTAGTTCTCACTGACTAGAAACTACATCTCCCTGCTTCACCCCACGCTTTGTCTTCTGGAGTATCTTCCCTGGATCCTCAAAGATGGAAAAAATGTGAAATGGGCAGAACATGTTAATGCCTGCTTCTTGCCATTAAGAATCAAAATTCTCACTTGTTATAGTCTGTAATCTTTTATGGCCCTGAGACTCCAAGCTCTTCCTGCATGCAGTGTGACTGCAATATGTAACAGATCCTGCCCAAGAGACAGTGGTAGTTGAGGTACAAACACTTGGAGCACCTTGTCCACAGTCACACAACATATGAGCATCAAAGCTGGAAAGCAAATACCTGTGTTCAGAGTGACAGTCTGATGTCCCATCTCATATGAGACTGTACTGTCTCTTTGTCAAGAGGAACTGCAGCTAAGATTCCTCAACAGGAGAGAGTTTGTAAAATGTATTTTCTACATTTACCTAAGCTAGACTGAAAGTTTGAACAGTGATTACTGAAAGCACAGCCTGATGGCAGCCAGTACATGTTTTGCACACAAGGAGATGCACACTTCCAGGAACACCACCTTTGATAAGTGGACAGAATGTTATGTGGGGCACGTTGCATTATTCTGGTCCCTGACTGCTGTGGTTATTTGACCAGTCACTCCTACTATAGGGTCTTTCATGACAGCAGCTAGAACAGGGAGATATAAGGACTGCATGATGATATCTAATCGCTTATGCTTTGTGAAGGAAGATGTGAAAGAGTTTCATGTTACAAAAGTTTCTAGGACAATGCAAAGTCACACATATGAAGAAAACAAAACTCAATTCTCTCACACAAAGCCTCAAGCATCGTAATCCCTAAGGAAATAAATATTTCAACAACGAAAATTTTAATGACCAAGAGTAGTTGTCACATTAACCTCAAACCAGCCTAACCCTGAGCAGAACAACGCTACACTGAGCATCAACTACATACTCTATTAAGAGAGCGAGCAGTGGATTTTTGCAACTTGTATTTCAGTGCCCAGTCTAACAACATAAAATTTGGGAATTATTTCATTTTCAAGTATTGGATATTCTGAGCAATTAATAAGTTACTGGATAAAAATCAGGCAAGAATGTTTAAAGCTGAGAGCTCAGGAAGATGACACCCCAGAAGCCTCAAATATTCAAATTTAAAATGTAGAGATCCACAAACAGAAACTGAAAATGTGAGTCTCAAGGCCGTATGTTAAGCTGAAAACTTATAAGAATTTTCTTTGAAATCCATTTAAATGGATATAGAAGTAGTGGTCCAACTCCACAAAGAATTTCTAGTGTAGCAAGGAGTCAACCTGAGAAAAGTAGCCATGTATAATGAAACTATTTATTGTTTCCTACTGGTTTCTTATGACTGGTACCCAAAATTATAAGGTTTGCTATCAATAATCAAATGTGATATGTCAGGACTTCAGAAATAAACTGAATTATAACAATCTTGCAGTGTCTTTGAGTAACATTGACTATGGTTGTATTTTGTCTGGAAGGGATGGTTGTCTTGCTATATATATGACAAATACAGTTGCTCTATACCCAGCAGTTCAAGATATCATTTATGTGAATTTCCATAAACTTCATTTGGATTCCATGTTTTTGCTTGTTGTATTATCTACAAGCATTATTATCTAGAATTATTTACTAAAATCAAGTATATTTTCCATCTGATCTTTCACCATAAGTCATCTTTTTGTTTGTTTGTATAAAAGCAGTGCCTAAAGAGGGTCATCATGCCTTACTCTACCTGGAGTTTTATTGCTGTTCTACTAGCTGGAGACTAAACTCCCTCAGCCTCTCATTCCTCATAACATGTTTTCTAGAGCCTTCCCCAGCTCCAGTGCCCTTCTCTGGACCTGCTCCAGCACCTCAATGTCTCTCTTTTAGTGAGGAGCCCAAAACTGAACACAGTACTCAAGGCATGGCCTCACCAGTGTCGAATACAGAGGGACAATCACTCTCCTAGTCTTGCTGGCCACACTATTCTTGATACAGGCAAAGATGCCACTGGCCTTCTGGGCCACCAGGGCACACTGCTGGATCATGCTCAGCTGGGTGTCAACCAACACCCCCAAGTCCCTTTCTGCTGAGCAGCAGCTCTCAAGCCACTCTTCCTCCCAGCCTGTGGTGCTGCCTGAGGCTGTTGTGACCCATGTGCAGGACATGGCACTTCACCTCATTGAACCTCATGCAGTTGTCCTCAGCCCATCACTCCTACCCACTTCACTTGAAGTTGTCAGCAAACCATGTCATACCAACCTCACAGATAGCAGACAGTCCTAACAGGCAGCTTCAAAAAGAGTATGCTTGAGAGGGTTTATTTGTCCTGCTCAAGATATTCGTGTCAGCAAGGAGAAATTCCTTCATAGGCTTACGTTTAGAACTTACTTATAATAATACTACTTGCTAAAGTCCTTTCTTAAGAATATTTTTCTGGAAATAGACTTGTAGGAAACAAAGAGTGTCAATGTTTCTACTGCCAGTACTGTTTAGAAACAGCCCTTGGCACAGGAACCAAATACTGAGAAAAACAAACAAAGCAAACATTGCAGCATCGCCATTAGTATTTTTATATTTAACAGTTAAAGACACAATGTTCACATCCATACTTGAAAAATTCCAGAATAAAGACTTTGCCTGAAGTTTTCTGGAAAACTTTCTTGAGCACATAAGTGGAGCAAGATCCAGGTATACCACCCTAAGAAAAACGTTACTAAATGGTACCGAGAACTGTACAGGAGAGGATGCCAAAGAAAACTGACCCTGACAGTAGCTCAGTTTAGCATGGTGCTAATAATGCCAAGGCTGGGGGTTTGATCCCTGTATGGGCCATTCGCTTAAGAGTTGGAACTGATGATCCTTGTGGGTCCCTTCCAACTCAAAATATTCTGTGATTCCGTGAAAATTCCCAAGGATGAATTATTGTCAAGTCTGCGAAGGTAATACACAGAAACTGCACATCCGACAGCACTTCCCTCCGCAAGGCAGGCACAGGCAAGTGCCAGAGAGGGGGATGTCAGAAGTGCAGTGTGATGGTGACACCACAACCCTTCCAACAGCAGGCATGCTCCCACCCATTCTCACTGGGAAGAGCTAGGTAATAATTACCAGTATTTGAAAAACATAAAGTAGCACAAGCTTTGATTTGAAAACAGGGAAAAGGAAGAAAACTAGATGAGAGAGAGTCTATTGTACTTCTCTCCACTTCAGTTTTTTAAGACCTATTCTCATCATGTGATGCAAATTGGCATAATTTGTCTCCAAAGCAGCAAAGTATATGCTTTTCTTGCCTCTGCAACTGGGTCTGTAACTAAATATAGTATTTCTTAACATACATGTTTAGAAACACTGAAATGGTGGAAACAAATTCTCAAATGTTGTTGATTTTCTATATGCCTGAAGAAATTATCTCAGAAGGGACAGAAGAATTAAAGGACTGAGCTGTAACTGATTCCTGGGATTGCTTTGAAGTATAAGTCTAGGATTTCGCTTGTTTTTGGTGGATACACACATGTTACACATTAAAGCAAAAGTTACTTGGACACTTGAGATATTTCTATTAGCCTAAGATACACTAAGTACTAGACTAAAGCTCTTCAAACGTAGCTAAACACTAATTTCTCGTATTATATACCCTTGTTGGTATTTAATAGGTCATTAGAATAAGTTCTCTGAATTTTCATTTGTCAAATACAAGAAACGCCAATACTTACTCAAAATACAGAGTGAGGTCTGTTGCCAATATCGATTGTTTTAGAAGTTGCATAAGGTCACTGTAGTCCTTAGAGGACAAGTTAGCAAAGATGTTGTGACCCTATAATGAAAGAGATAAAAGAGGTAAAAGACTAGCAATCAATATAGGTTTTTAAAAGGTTTTCTGACTCTTTAGTCTACTGTTTCCCTGTAAAACAAGCCTTTTCTGATTCATGGCAAAACTACAACAAAATAATAATGTTAATACTGCTGAGATTACACTGAGGTGGAAGAGTTGACGACTGTAATCAAGCACCTGATATGTTTTTCTAAACTCTGCTGAAATTATAGCCTCTTGAGTAAAGATTTACTCTTTGCTCTGACCCTGCACAGACTCAGTTTATGGGGGAAAACTATGGATACATCTCAATCTTTCCTCCTATTAGATGTTTTGGGGAGCTGTGCATTGGAGCTTTTGAGTTGTGCTCCTAATAGATTTATCTGTGCTGCTGCTTGCAGGCACACAAACTGCTGTTAGAGCAGTCAAGGACACTAAATCAGTTTTTCATTCAAAACAGCCCATTTGCTCACTCTGCCCATTACTGCCTTGTCTTACAACCACTGCCTACGCAGGCTAAAGAACCACATCTTTATATACAGTTTAAACACCCTTTGTGGGCCCAACTGGCTGCTTTTTAAGGAATTGTGGATTAAGAATTTGGAAGGTGCCCTATGGCCAGAATGACAGTAAACAAATTATTTTACATTGCATTTTTAAGAGCAGGAAGGTCCTTATGTAACTGGATTTCTGAAAACAAGAAAAGGGACAGAGACACTGTAATTCCTCTATGAAATCCCAGAAAAAATAAACAAAATTAATGGAAAATTCTAAATGTAAGCTTAAGAAGTGATCTTTATGACAATAGTCATATATAACTATATTAATATAAATAAAACTATTACAGGTTGTTTGTTCTTTTTTTCTAATCACCTACAGAAATGTTGAAGTTCTTGCTAAACAGAGTCTTAGTTTGGTGGTATTTAGTCCTGCAGTGCTCACATTCAGTATGCACTGCCATCTACTGCCTAGGAAGATTAAAATGTCCTTAAACCCAAGAATTTTCCAGCAAGAGGATTGCTATAACCATGATGGTATGAAGACATGTATGAGAAAAGGTCTGGAGGTAGAGATGGCATTTTTAATAGAGCAGCTAATTGTTGGACTGAAAAACTAATTTGTTATGCATAAAATTGTTTCGTATCAGCTAAATATTGAGAAGGTTTTGAGAATTTAAAGCTTATTTATGAAAAAAACAAACAAACAATCAAAGTACTCAGAAGAAAATAAAGCAAAATGTACCAGAAAAAGAGCAGTTCTTACAACAGGGATAATTTACCAAGTTGTCTTTTATTCTATAATATCTATTGCCTTTCTGACCTGTTTCATTGTGTAGAAAATCATGTCACTACTAAGCCCAAAATCACTATACTTAGGTTAACATGTCAAGAGTAAGGGATAAATACCTTCTTTGTCCAACATGCTAAACATCTGAAGAAAAAATACAACATACTATGTTTCCTTGTAGTCAGCAAAACCAGACTAGAATATTTCGGCTTGTTTGAGAGAGACTGACTGCTCAGCTGGCAATAAACGGTGTGTCTTTAAGTAGACTGGGAGATTCAAATCTGCATTTATTCCAAACTAAGCGGTGTTGTGTTCCATTAGCAAACAGTATCAATTAGACAAAAATCCTGTAGGATTAATTTTCTGGACTGGAAATGAGGACCTGGAAAAGAAGCTGCCTGAATGATCACAGGTGAGAACTTGCATTTCAAGTAATACTTTACATCTCTGAAGAAGCTGGACTAAAACCCAAAGAATTTTTTGTTTCATAAATTTATTGATTTTTAAGCTTGAAAAGATAAAGAAAGGCATCTAGACTGCCATGGACTTGTCCACATCTTGAGTTTGAGACATTCAATTATGATGAAGATTTCAGGAACTAGAGAACTCACTGTTTTCCAGAAAACCTTGTTCCAGAAGCAGAACAGAGTCCCTAGTTTATGAAAAAAAACCCCAACAACAAAAACCACCCCAAAAAACAAACCACAAAACCAAAAAACCTTTCCTTTTTTCCTATTCTGAACTAGTCTGTTTAGTATTCAAATGCTGATTTTTCTTACACCTTTCCCTCAAATTATAAGGAGCCATTTAATTCCTATCACCTTTTAGATAAGCTAGCCTAGGCTGAACAAATTGAGCTGTCTAAATCTCATGCTGGTGCTCTCCTTTCCAATGTTTACTTTTTAAATATAATGTCAAGAAACTGCTCACTAAAGCCACAGTCCCATGACAAATCTCTCTGGCAGTGTACACAGAGGTAAAGCCATCCGCCTGTTCCCATTTGTCTGTGATCATGGGGCATTCCCAGATGCTCTTCAGAAGTTACTGCAGATCAGCATATGGTCTCCAGTTGTGCTGCATGAACAACAATTTTGGGTTTTGTATTTACTGAATGCGTTTTGTAACAACCTAGCTGTGAAAATCCACCTGTTTCATAAGGATTGCACATCCACCCTTCTCCTTTTCTCTCTGGTGTAGTTCATGCTGTATATACTGTTAGACACAAGATATTCTAGGCAATAACTATGTCTTCATATGTATCTGCAAAGCAATAACTGTACTTTGGACAACATGATATTAATTTTTAAAAATAATGTATTAAAAATATGAAAAGCCATCACAAAAGTACTGATTACAGAAAGACTGTCAAAGAAATTAAATTGGTGCAGTAAAGGATGACTGTGATATTCTGAATATGGTACCTGTGGGGAAAGGTAAGGGCTTGTTTCAGCTACCTATAAACCATTGAGGAGGATATATGTAAGAAGACTGAGAAAAGCTGACAGTATGATTAGGGTATGTTCTCCTTGCCCCTCGCTGATTGAGACAAATATAATCTCTGGGCTCTATGATCAGCATTTGTAGTTGTTTAATTTTGTGCTAGTTGTGACCTTTGTGGTAACCAATAAATAATTCCTCAAGGAGAGGACATTAAAAAGGTACCGTGTGTGGTATTTCCTTTCTCCTGCTGAAACTGCCCAACAGCTTACAGTGAGATTAATAGTAATGCTTTTGTACCTCACTTTGGAGAATCATGACAGCATGATTGAAATGGTGATGCTCCAAGGTAGCAGAGGTGCCATAGAGCTGAGCTAAGGCTGATCCACTCCTGAAAGAGAACATGGGGAGTCAACAAATACTGCTCATCTGCTTACAAAGCAGGTTTCAGAAACAATTTAGTAACAAAAGCAGGAAGCCACACTTCACCTCCATTTCAGCAACCACACCTAAGACAGTTGACAAGATCAGAAATACTAATTTAAAGTCAGATACAAAGCATTTATGTTCCAGACTTTGCTAAATATCATCAGCTGACTAAAAATTTTTCTTGAACTACAAGAAATTTTGTAATGCAACTTTCAAAGTGCCTCAGCAAGAGCAGAGGCTCACCACTGTGCAGTAAAGACCCACAGTAACATCCTTGATCTAGGCTTGGCTGTCCCACTGCTACTTTGTTTTTTTAATTCTTAAAAGACATAAACACAATGGCTTACAATGGGCAATTAGAAACTCTTAAAATAACCCCCCAAAACACAACAACAACAACAAAAATACAAGTGCACTGAGGTCCTGTCAGTATGTAAAATCACACACTTAAAAAATACTAAGGTAAACAAAAAACCACAAGTGAGAGCAGTGAATATAAAAGCAAAGTTTAGCATTGCTTTAGAATATATTTTTCCATCATGTTTATTGTCTAAACCAAAGTCAGATTCAAAATGCACAGAGCTGGTGGGTTTTCTAAATTTCCTAAGTTTTTCCAAGGATAAAAATCTATAGAATACAATTATAAAATTCTGAATCGTTGAGAGGTGCAGTGAATGGGACAGGATTGTCAGAATAGTCACTGTTCACCATTACTTCACTTCTGGGAGCCAGACTAAAGCAACAAGACGGGTTTTCTTTCCAAAGAAATGAGAATAAGAGATTATGCCAGAGACAGAAAGTCTCCTAGGAGCATAACCTATAAAACTGCACCATACTGATACTTAATTATCAGAAGCAGCTATGTTAGAGAGAAGGATGTCCAGGAAACATTGTCCCTAGAGAATGTGATGCTGAGATATATAACAGAGCCATTTCAAACAACTGTGATATTGTCTCCATCATATACCTCTTGAACTTTCATCATACAGAAACAGCAGTATTGAGCACTGAAGATAAAACAGGAAAAAGTGATGCTTAAATTTATGTCAGATTACAGGAATAAATCATAGTTGCTGTTATGAAAACTACAACTTCTGTTTTCGGGGATGTTTTATGCATGTGTGGTAATGTTTGTCTTTCATTAAATGTCTTCAGCAGTTTCTTTATGGAGTCATAAAATGGTAGCCTCCTCTTCATACTCCATTGTCAAACAACAAGTATAAGTGATAGCAGCCTAGTGCTGAAACCCTACACCTCTAACTGAGCCATCCCTCTGCACAAGCGATACTGTTGTGTAATGTTACAGAGGAGAACTGGTTAACTTAATCTGAGCCTAAAATGGCTAAGATGTAAATTTTAGATCTCGTTGTAAATTAGGAACATAAACATCAATCAGCTGAGCTTCCTTCCCATTTGTCTCGTCTATTTTGATTCTCTTCAAGTCTCCGCTGCAAAAAGGCATCTAGCAGTGCTTGGTAACCTTTGCACTATGAGCTCTGTCTTTTGAGCACTGCAATTGATTTTCCTTGCTACGGTGATTGAAGATCCAGACAGTGTCATTGTTTCATTGGGATTGTATGGTAACACCAATGCCTCAGGAAATGGCAGCTTAGCAAACATCAGAAACATCAGTTTGAGTGATGTTCACTGAGGCAACTTGCCCCCTGAAATGCAGCAGCCTGTGCATACACCCATTGCAGCAGAGTATTTCTGAAAATGGTAGGACAAAATAGGCTAATAAAGCATTACACTGTCTTTCAAATATCTTTGGACAACCATTTGACCACTCCCCCATCACACTGGAGGATTAGCAGTAACACAGAACAGAAAAAGCTGCAAATGCACACTGGGATCTGCGGGACGAGAGCTGCAGGGTCTGACTGTAGAGGACCCAGGGACTGAAGAAAACAACACGGGATTTGAAGGAGTCTCTGTGTCTGACAGCTTCATTTCACAGCTTGGCCAAGATGTTGCCAGGGGATGTTTTCTGCTGTCCTGCCTGTTCTCAGGGAACACAGATTTTGGAATGAATTTGACCATGGTCAAAGGAATTCCCTCACCACCACAGTAAGAAGAACTGCCCTCAAAACTTCCATAAGCCTGCTTCTACCTCACTGTGCCTGATGGCAGCAGCATGGACAGCAAAATAAATACATGCAAGTCAGGGCTGCTAAATCAGCTCATAAGAATTTTGAATAGAATAAAATTAATTTTCAGAATTGAAAACAGTTCTGGAGAGCAAGACTTCACACCAGTGATGTCAGAATTTGCCTTTGAGATCCAGCTTTGTGTTCTGGTGCGTACTGACTACTGCAGAAGGCAGCCAGCCCAGTCCTGCCCACGGCAGCATGAACGGGCTCTGGGTGCTGTGGCCTGTGGGGCAGGTCAGGTAGGAGGCATTTTTACACCCCAGGGACCCTGTGTACTCAACAACTGACAGGGATGTGGTGAGGCAACTACTCTGGCCACCCGCTGCAGATGATCTGCACCTCAGCTCCAGAAGGATGGCAATGGTTTCATACTTCATAAGCTAGGAATTACATTATGTATGCTTGCTTATACTGGCGTGAAAGTTTTTGTGAAAGCATTATTTCAGTTTTACTTATTTTCTTTTCTTCTTAACAAGGGAACAAGGTTTTACTCAATATCGTGCATTCCAGTCAGTAAGAACAACCCAGATAGACAATTTAGATGTTTCCTGGGTTGAATACCAGAATCAGTAATAGCTGAGCCTAAAAGAACATCAAGTTTTGGCACCACATTTTAATATGTGGTGTCAGTTCAACAGCCTGCCACAAAGGACAGGCCAGCAATTACCTAAAGGAACAGAGAATGATAAAGATGGATTGTCCCTCACTGCATACAGGAATAAGAATACTTGGCCTTGGCCTAGGAGGCTTGAAATTAATGCTTCATTCTATATCCTGGTCACCTTTTGCTCTCCCGTGGAAGAAAACCAAATTAAAATAGTAAGAATTAGAAAGCTTACTTGGCTTGGAAGGCATTGTTGGTTCCCCTGTGGTCAAGGTCGTGACATAAGCATCCCACAATCAAAGCTAAAATTTCAATTTCACTTAGAATCTCCTGAAATCCTGCGGTCTGGGAGCAGAAAAAAAATAGCAGCTGTAACTATCAGTAGCAAAAGGGATAAGTAATGTTAGTCCATCGAGCAACAGTCAACTTTGTTTTGATACCATGAACGTTTCAGTAAGGAGAAGATAAATGCTTTATTGTCATATTCTATTCCCTGCTGTATGTTAGATGGTTAGCAGAATAGATAACGTCCTTGGAGTGATCTGTTATTATCTCTTTGTTGCATTTCCAGCATGCCATTTCTCTGCTACCCAGAAGGCACTGAAGGCAAAAAGAGCTGAAAACGAGCATCAGTAACTGCAAACTAAAACAGGAAATGGATTTTCTGATCAGAAAAATAAAAAAAACCCCAAAACTAAATTGATTCTATTTTGAAATTACTGCTTAGAGAAGTATTTTGTAAGATTTCCTCAATTCTGAGAAGACCACCTTAGTCAATCCCTACTGTCCAAGATAGCTGAGATGTTCAATCAAAAGACGTATAAAAGAACCCAGATACAATATATTCTATGGAACTGTTATGAACTATTAAAAGACTTTTTTTACCTGGGACAATGAAATGAAGTGGCATGATTTAAAGAGCAAATGTCTCAAATGGCTTATTTCTGTTGCAGATAGCCGCATGAATTCAGGAGAGATTTTTGAAAACAGATGTAATGAAATTGCCTACAAGCAGCTCAGACATGTTTGTGTGAATGGGGGAGCTGATCCTAGAAACATTTTTTGCCACTATACTTCTCCTCATGGATACTTGCCATAAACAGTCTTCCTGCCTGAACAGCCTCATGTCAGAAAAAAGAATCACTACTGCTACTGCTAACCTCATGCATCCTGAACAGATCCTGTCTAGATGAGGTGCCAGAGCCTGTGTGGGACACCACCTCGTTGGTGCTGTGCATCTTACCCATGGCAGAAACAACCTGGTTCTTCAACTCTTCAGAAGCAGACGAGTATATTGCCTGCAGAGAGGACTGGCTGAGCTGGAAAATCATGACACTTGTCTTTACGCAGTGCCAGTTTCCAAAGACACTCCTAAATTAGCCACATGACCTAGTTAGTATGAAAGGAAATTATATTCAAGAAATATAAAATACATTTATATTGGAGTACCAAATCAAGGCTGAACACTAACACCACCTGAGAAATCCCAAATCCCAATGATTTTCACTGGGACATGATTTCACCCACTGGCAAGAGGAGGGTTTAAGTGATACAGTGGGACTTGTCCTTTTCTGGTAGGAACTTACCACCCGCTCAGAAATGCCAGTCAATTGATGCAATATCCTGAAAACTCTTCTCCCTGAAGACCACGAATTCTCCTTAAAGAAATGCACATTCAAATCCAAGTAGCCTCTGTTTAGATAGTCTGAAATGTGGCTGCAGTTAATACTTAGGCAGGACAGGGAGCCAAGCTCCCCCAGGTGCTCAGGAATGCATTTCAGTGGGAATTGAGGAAGTGCAGGACTTGCTACAAAAGGTTTATAATTGCTTGAAGTTTACACATCAGAAAAGATGATGAAGTATGAGGAAAAAAAGATTAATTTTGTGTAGAATCCAGTGGTGTACAGAATAACTTGAATATTAGGAAACAGATTCGCCTGATTTCTAGTGGCATTGCTATTCTTATTTTTTTTTTTAGTTTCAATAACATCTGCCCAGACAGAGGAAATTCTATAAAAAAATAGTGTTTTATCTTTTTAATTTCTTAAACATTGCTCTTGTATAACAAATAATAATAAAGGTCTGTTTTAAAAAAGGGATTAAAAAATAGCTTTTTAACTGACGACATGCCGTATGTCAAGTTTCAGTCTAGAAAAGATATTCATAGCTAAGTTAAAACAACTTAAAAAGGAAGTTTTATAAAATAAAATTGATATTATAATAAATATTCTTTAGCTTAAAGCAAGCTTTGATTAAATTCAAGGATTCAACCTGTATGACAAATGCAGGAAAGCCAATTAAGGAATTTATTAACACTAGCAATATCTCAAAAATAAATGCCACATTTTATTTAATGTAAAGCCTAGTCATTGAATAGATGAAAGAAATATAGCAATGCCACTTAGTAAAAAACATCTAATTTAAAACAATGTTAAAGTGAGAGGATATCTTCTTTGAACATAATGCAAGAAAACAGGGGATTACATTTCCCCATTTTCTGAATTTACAGAGAGAAAAAAAATACATGGCTATAGACGATGGTGCAGTAAAATTTATTTTCACCAGAAAAGGAATGACCCATAACTCATGAGTGGCACAGTCTCCTGTGAGTTATGGAGGTCATTCTTTCATGTGAGGAAACGAATTGCATTCATTATACCTTGCCCCACATCTATATGTTTTGTTATTAGCACACCAGATGGGATTTTAATTTTGTATTGCTTACTTGTTCATTTTTACCCTTTGAAATAAGTATCAATGTGAACTGTGTTGGCAAAGGCACTGAAAACAAAGCCTGGGCTTGATGCTGTGGTTGTCTCATGCAATGTCTTAGCTTGTGGGAGCAGCTACAGTGCTTGTCTTCAGAATATTTGGGCATCTGAAATACAGAACTATGGTTTGCAGAACTGGGCTTATAATTGTTCAGGAGAGATAAAATACATACTTAGATATATAGGAACACACTTTAAATATGCAAAAGGCTGAGTTCACCAGGAGCAAAACAACTGGTTTACTCTTTGTTAGATTTCTGTTGTTTAGCTGAATTTTCCTTCTACATTCAATAAGAGTATGGTCAGGCCATTAGAGGCTACTGAATTACAGGTTAGACAGTACTATGCTATGGTTAATTCTACCTGAAAATGCCCTAAATAGACCTGTGGGATTATATTTGTGCAGTGTATATTGCTGACTGTTATGGAGAAATCAGAAATAAGGTGCAATAACTGCACAAAGCAGTGCTTTCTTGACCATCAGAGAAGGGCTCTGATGAGCCCTTTAAAGGGCTTGTCAATGTATTTTTTTCCCTTTTTTACAGAGAAAAAAGAAGACACATATTCAGATTGCATCCCCCAGACAAATGCAGTAGGAGCAAGACTTGTGCTATTACTGGTCTCTTGACTCTCTTTTGTGTCTTCTTTCCCAAAAGATCAGTCAGACCAAACAGATCACACACCTGAAGTTATTCTGTTCTCAGCCAGAGCCAGAGCAAAGTGGGGTGGGATGTGTGGCTAGTCCAGTGTTGTGAGCACATGCATCCGAATTGCTCAGTTTATTACCAGGAGTGAGAGCAATGAAATGAACTTGGCTTGAAAATGCCAAGTCACATCCCACATACAGTTGCGTCCCTGTGCTGACTGCTAAAAGGATCCTGAAATTATGCTGTGAGAACCACGGTCAAAGCAATTTATAGTGGAAGCCTGGCAGGCTGCTGGAGCAGCAGGGATGCGCTCTCTCCCTGCTGGCTGCCGGTGCGGGCACCGCTAGGTGAGATGGAGATGCCTGGTGAGAGAGCGCGTTTCCCAGCGAAAGAGCAGCGTGCCGCAAACCTGGCCTTGGAGCTCCACCTAGGGGTCTCACCGATGAGCCTGGGGGGCTCCTCACCCCGGGCAGCGTGTGGCAGAAATTACTGTAACTCACAGAGAACGGCGTTGCCCGCCTTCGCCCTGACTCATCCCAGTAAAACGCTTTTCATTTTTCTAAAACTGAAAAAAAAAGGTGCGTGTCAAATTCATAAAACTCTGAAAACAACCGACACCCACGCATTCCGGCCAGATTTCATTAGAGAGCATCAGAAAGTGCCTGCTGAAACAACGTCAGTTCTGCTCAGCTGAACAAGAAGGGGTGACCGTTCTCCATTGCTGAACGTCTCCATTTCCTTTGTGTCATGGTGTACGGTACAGCTTTGCTACACCTCCACAGGCACTCACAGAAACAAAGCCACACGGCTGGGTTTGTGCCAAAGCACTAGACCAACATCAGCCTGCTGGGGGACTTGTCAGGCTCGGTTTTTTCTCTTGCCCAACAGACAAAGTTCTGGCACACAGACAATGTCGAACAGAGGAGGACAACCATGAACCCACGCACAGGACAGCTGTGCCTTGTGAGCAGGAAAAAGGCCACTGACCGACTCAAATCCATGTAACAGTGCACTGACCTGTGCTGAGAATGGCATAGGCTGTGGAGTCTCCCTCTCTTCAGAGTTCAAATGCTAACTGCACCACAGAGACCAGTCAGCAACAAGAACGTAGGTATTCACAGATCAAAAATTAGGGAGCAAGCACACAATATCCCAGATAAATAAATACTTGCACAAATGCTACAAGTATGGCTAAGTTAACGTTCACAATACATTAGGCACTAAAACTGAACATGAAGAAAAAAATTTTAAAAATTTGAATGATTATTGGAAAATAAGGCAAACCCAAAATGTGAAGTGCACCAAAAAAGTGTTGTGTGTTCACAGACATGTTGCTTCTCTTTCACCACATTAACCAGAATATTAAACATCCAGGATCACTGAGGTTTTTACTGATGCACTTACAAGAATTAACTAGCCAAGCATGAGTTATTTCACACAGTGATGTTGCTGCAGGGTAGGGAGAGAGAGCAATTATACTTGTTCAAGTATACTAGCAGTGGTACTTTCAACAGAATTTACTTGTGTGCTGAAAGGAGCTACAGATACTGTGGAGATACATGTTAATAAAACCCCTAAGTGTTAACAGTGTCCAGTAGAGACACGAGATTCACTTAGATCACTGTGTTGGAAGTTAATTTTGAAATGTTTTAAGGCAATACCTTCTAGAACTATTTAGATGAAGCTGGATAAGGAGGTAATAAGTATCAACATAATAAATACTTTGGGATTCTAATCTTCCTTGGTTTTGTACTTTTCAATTTAAGAGTCTGAAATAAATGTCAAATCAAAGAGTTCCAAAAGAAAAACATTTTGTAAGATCAAGATCTATAATAACAAGCTCACTCCAAGAATGCCATCTGTTTTCAGTCACTTTAATGTGCTTATGATACCACTGTCACTAAAACACTATACGGTTTTGCCAAACATGTGATGCCTTAAGTTGAATTAAGTTCTGTGTGCTTTGCTATTGGAAATGAGTAGCATAATAACTAGAAAAGAACTGAATGCTGGAAAACGTTTAGACACGTAAGGCAATGTGGCAGTAAAAGCTCTTACAGGATTGCGTCTGGAGCTGGATACTTACGGTTAGCATGGCAAACATCAGCTGGCAGACATTGAAAGCATGCCTCCAGTTGTGATACAAAACCATCCGATAATTCTTCCTAACCGTCAAAAGCCACCTACACAGCGTCTGGAATTAAAAGTACAGTTTGTATCAGGGCTACTAAATGTGTACAAATGGACAGAGCAGTGCCAGAACAAAAGCAGCAGATATCTGCAGCGCAGATGGTTACCTCGTAGTCAATTTTAAATTTCTGAACCATTCCAAGTTCCATGAACATCCGCAGGGCTGCAGTAATCATGGTATCCACATCAAGCGAGAAGTCATCAAAATGGATATTGTCAATGCCAAGCTCTGACACCAGAGGGATGTTTGCTGCCTGAAAATGCCAAAGGGAAATTTCTGATTCAAAAATTCGGTCTTTTTTTCTGTGTCACTCTTACAAGAACCAATCTGTACATCAGTTCTGACCTGCCAATACATTCCCTGCTGGATTCAAATGCCAAGCAGTAGAAGTCTTCATCTGAGAAATACAAATGTGTCAAGCTAACAGAGCATGGAAACAGTGGGAAGTAGAAGAGCCTGGTACGAGCAGAAAATACGTTCACCATCACAACTGGAGCCCAGATACAGGGCTTAGACTGAAAGCTGACCACTTTACAGCTACTGCAGTAACACAATATATTCCAATGCAAATTACAATGCTGTAATGCAAGAAACATCTGGACAGCCAGCAGCTGGGAATTTTAATTGCTACCATTTAGAATTGCAAAGCAAATATACTGCTCTGCAGAATTTCTTCATCCCAGTGTCTTTATAGCCATAAGCATACAAGTGCCCTTTGCTTTACACTCTTCACTACACGTATGTAGAACCAAAAGAAGAGCAATACAAAAAATGTCTAGTAGAAGTACTTTCCAAAGCAAAATGAAAGAATTTTCAACACACTGATTATGTAGTAAGTCAATACAGCAACAGCAAAAGCCTTACATTTTGCTTTGTCTATGCAACAGGGACTTTTATTCTGTTTGTAAGAGAGGAATGAGTTTCTCGTGAACACAACAAAGATACAGATGAGTGTGCCGGACTGGCTAATGCATACAGCACCTGCGTGAGCCAGGCAGAGGTGTTGACAACCTTCACAGGCTTCCTTGCCCTTCTTTATGCCCCTTCAGACTTGCCATTCATCTCCCTAGAGAGGGCAGGTGGAGGAGGATGCATTTGCTGAAATAGCATCTGTTCCCTATCTCCCTCAGTGAGAAGGTGATGGGTCAGGTAGAAGCCTCACAAAGGCACCAGATCCAGCCCACAGGCTATGAGGTGGACAATGCTGAATTAGTTAAAATCCCATGGACTCAGCTGGCATGGCTCATCTAGCTACTCACTTGCATAAAATACCAATTAGTTCATGCAACTCTAAGTTCACCTTCTCAATTACAGATTCTACGTAACCATCTTATGACTTCCTTCTTGAAAACTTGTGTTTTGAAATAGTGCACGCTAACCTCAACAAGTTACTGACATGTAAAAAGCTTCTTCTGGCTGAAGAGAAAGTGCCACCTCAATAATTACTTTATGCAGAGATTAAGTTGATTTAGCTACACTACATAAGAGAAGATGGTGTAAATCTGTCATAAAATAGTATTAACACTGTGGTTTTAACTTAGTTGCTAGCTAGAAGAAAGTTCTTTTTAGTTCAGTACCCAGTAAAGGACACCAGTACCACAAAAAACCATGGCACTATGCCAGTGTGTTTAACTGACACAGGAAATACAACAAACCCATCAAGTCGAGTGTCATCCCAGAACACAGCTGAAGAACCTCTGGAGCATGCAGGCAGAGATGTCAGTTCTGTTAACTGCACACTTTCTCTGCTAGCATAATTATCCAGGTTGAATCAATTCAGCATCCTTTTTTTTAAGAATTACTGAAAAATTTGAAATACTTCTAAACAGAAGCACTTGATTGTCAGTAGACCTTCTTGTAATTGTTTTATCAAAACTATCTTTACAAACTTACTGCTGCATTTTCATTAACTTTGAAGTGGGGTCTGATTAAAATTTTCACTTTTTTGGTATCTTAAAGATACAGATCTTTTCCTTGCAATTTTTTACTGGAAACCAACACTTTCTCCAGCCTGTTACAATTCAAGAGAGAACACCTGAAGCAGTTGCTCAACTAAAATTGTTTTTCCATTTGTCAAACAGGGGAGAAATAACAACATATTCCAAATCTATTACAAATTGAACAACAGGATATTAACAAAACAAGTCAAACCCAATTTCTTCCAATGTCAGTCTGAAACTTTTAAATATTTATGAGGTTTTACATTCCTAAATTTATCAGGAGTGCCATAATCCAAAATAACAGCTGAATTAATAGCCAGGAGATAAAAATTGTAAAAAAGAACCATTTGCTTTAAAAGAGCAATAAAGGAAACAACAGAATTATGAGTGTAGAGACTAATTTGAATAATGTTAAAAAAAATATGTTGTGGGGCTGCAGCAATATTCTGGCTGCACCTGGCATTGATTACCCTCAGCTTCTTAGGCTAGAAATGCAGAAGTTGGGGTTTATAGGAGAGCAGTCATTAAAACTTCATTATTTTAATTACAGATATAAAAAATATTAATAATACAGAATACTAAAACATATCCACCCGTGAAATTTTGCTGTACTGCAGGAAAAATTCCAGTGGATTTCTTAAAATAAACAGCAATAACAACACTCTTTTTCAGGAGAACAGAGAGGGTGAAAGTACCATGACAGCAAGAGAAAGGGGTAGGCAATTAAAATTCCAACTTACATTGAAATTATTTTTTTAAAGCACCCCAGTGTTTTAGAATCACTTAAAAGGTTTACTTCCTTTTGAGCATTCTGAAGCTCAATTTCCCCTTTCTAAAAACAATTAAGAATATTATACTCTGAAATCTTTTCACCCTGAGAATCAAGCAATTTCAATACTCTTTGTCCTTGAGAGAGAAAAATTCACATGACTCTTCTGCGAGCTTACGATAAATTAAAGCTGGGTGTGCCTCCTCTGGTCACATTTCCATACCTCCAGTACTAAACCAAAAATTTGTCTTGAAAGGAATCAAGAACACAAGTTTGGCTGAACACATGGAAGGCAACTGGTCTTGCCTGATGAGGTACAAACTCAGCAGCTGCCAGACTGGGAAGCTATCATCACTTGTAGGCAGCTTGCAAAAGAGGATGTTATGCCTCCAAATGAGACCATAAAGATAACGTCTGTGTCTACTCCATACTCAGGAGTGCTGGGATAGGGTGGAATGAATACAGGAAGGAGGAAAAGAGCCTTTGTACCCAATTCAGATCAGAGACAGATTCTCCTTGCCCCATTGCTCTTTGCTATCATGTAAATTGTATCACAGCCTGCTCAGCACATGTAAACGAGTAGGAGACAAGCGACTGATTGAGCCTTACCTTATATCAGCCATTTCAAAAGGGCCATATGTCATTAATGAGCATTTTACTTCAAAATACACGGAACATCAAAGTGGCTTCTACTATAAAGTCGCAATTCTGGCCACTACAAAAGAACAGCCCATGGGAACAGAAAAGTAATATTTCTGTTTCCATATTAATACACGTTTGGGCTGCTGTGGATGAATAAAACCTAAGAAGGAAAATGTAAGGAAACTAAAGTCAAATTTTTAGGGAAACTTTGAAAGGCTGAATACTTGAAATAAAAGCTACTACTTGATGCTTACACCTTAGTGCTGCTGAAGACACCTATTTCACAGTTTTAGAAGTATGTATGAAACATGGTCTATAGAACAGGTTCTTTATATTGTTAGTATGCAACTACATAACAATAAAGACAAATATTCACTAACACTCGTTTTTCTTCTGAGCAGTGTGTGTTCGTGTGTAAATGTATGTCAGAAAAATGCAGTATAATGTGCGCATAGACATACACAGAGTGTTTTAACAACATTCTCGCTGTAAGGGCCAAATGAAGCGACTGCAGTCAATCAGCAGAAGCAAAAGTGGAGTCTTCTCCTGTTCTTGCTAAACACATTTCCTGAATGAGACACAGATTTTACATTTAGCCTGGTTAATATTACTGCAAATCGCTTTCCTTTCAATCCTACTTTCAGTTTCTGACTTGCAACACACAAGTACCTTCATAATGGCCAATACCGCTATGAGAAAACGCATGCAAACCATACCGTGAAATGTTCTCGTCCATGTTAACTTCAAATCGGTTTGCAGTTATAAACAGTGAAAGAATGATCCCTTGGAGATGGGTGAAAGGAAAGGGGACAAGCTTCCTGTCCTGAGTAGCTTGCAGCTGTAATAGCTGCTATAAGCTCATGATAGATGTCTTGCTATGTTACCAGTCCTTCCAAACAGGGAAGAAACTTTATGCGTTTCCCTAGTGATCCACATGGTTTTGCAACCAAACTTCCCGTGAGAGCTGAAATCCTAGTTTTCACTATGTGAAAGCTGTATTAAGCTAAAAACCTTCTCGTTCAGCTAGTTAGATGCATTGTCAGTGGAGACCAATGGACAGGTCATATGCTGCCAGCATAAAAAACAGTCAGAGGGAGATAACTCCTTATGTAGGGAAAAACTGTATCATGTCAGGAATAAATAGGAAAACACAATCAGGATATTTAATAACCTTCTATAGCAGAATTTGATTATGAGGCAGTCTGGGTCAGTGGTGGGAAGAGGGTAATTTTAAGGTAGTAATTACATTTTGTCTCATCTTGACATAATCCTCTTATTCAATCTTTATTTCCTACGAACTGGCACACACTGATAGACAGCTTGTTTCTTAAATAGAAGATGCCTACAGCTCAAGGGTCTGATCACAACTAACTTATTCAGCATGTTATATGAAACAGTTTTTGATCACATTTGAAACAGAACACACGAAAAATATGTAACTTCACAGATTGATGGGGAAGGCTTACTTAAATGATTTTGCATTAACTGGTCTAGTAGCATGTTCTTCACAATCTCCTATACCCATATTTGATAATGTGATAAAATCAAATGTAAAGGCGCTGGCAAGTTCTTTATAAAGCATTCTTTCTCCCCATAAAATGTTAACTAACATGGAAGCAGTCCCGGTAAACATATTAAACACTGAAATCCTACTTTGCTGTTTCATCTTAAACTCTTTCTACTTCAGTTTTAGTACGTGTGTGGATAAGACATCAGTGCTTATTATGCAAGGAAAGCATTTTGAAACATACTGATAAGTATATTAATATGGCTTTGTTTAAGAAAAAGGCACATTCTGCCATTCTCACTTTCCTTCCTATGAGACAACAGAACTGTTCTGTAACAGTAACTTCCACTTACTGAATGTAGTCCACTTTTTGTATAGCCTTGTTTACAATGACA